TATTTATGTAACATTAAAAAAGGATAAGTTTAAGTTTCAGTATTAATGTACTTAATCTTAAACTTCTCTTTATACTTTATACTATTCTTAAGTATATCAAATATACATAGTTTGTAAAAAGTAAAGGTCAGGTACACTGACTCATTTTTCTTGTGTAAAAAAATTATACTTGTAGTACACTTAAATATACTACTCTTTTGCTAGAGGTATGWATTAACTTGGGCTATATCACCATATCATACATGTCAATTTGGACAAATTGTCCATAAATTACACTGATTTTCCCCCAATTCGAAGGTAGACTAATGTATTGGGCAATCTCACAGATTTTTTTTCAAATCTCAAGGATTTTTTTCTAAACTCAGTTTCAAATTTATTTTATGTCTCAGAGCCTGTAGGACATAAAAAAAACTCAGTAAATAAGATGGAATAATCATCTCCCAACACGTTCTGCCGCTAGAATTGTTTGCCGCCTCTCCCTGTCCTCCTTTCCCTGCTCCTCTGCRCTCCAGGCACACATCAGCACTCTGTTGTGTTTTTTTGTTGTTTTTTTTTGCTACCAAATACATTTAAAAAAGGCTTCTGGTGATGCTACAAGGCTACAAATAATCGTTTAATGACAACCGATAGTGTCRGTGTTGTTTTCCTCCAGCCAGTTTAACAATAAGTTAATGCGTGTTTTTGCTCGGWTCTGTGCATCAGGATGACCAGACTCCGCTGCACATCTCAAGTCGACTGGGCAAGCCCGACATCGTGCACCAGCTGCTGGCCAATGGGGCRTACCCAGACGCCACGACCGTCTCTGGGTACACGCCTCTACACCTGGCTGCCAGGGAGGGACACCGAGACGTGGCTGCAGCTCTGCTGGATCAGGGAGCCAGTCTGGCCGTCACTACAAAGGTAAACAGGAAGTTAGGACGTGCTGACAGAGAGACCGCTGCTCAGATGGATCTGCTCATGCAAACAAACTATTATTGTTGATGGAACGTGCTGCAGTCAGATGGTTTCTGTCAGCCAGAGGAAGGGTTGGGTCATACGGGTTGAACCCCTCCACAGAAAGTCCTGATAGTTTTACCTCATAGCTAAAGAATCATTTCGTCTCCCCATCTTGAACATGTTTTGAGTAATCAGTGATATCAGTGATACTTTAATCGTGCTGATGACTCATACATTTGGCACACATGTTTCTGCTACACAGARTGTGTTTCAGAAGAGAAAAGTCATCTTGTGTTGTCTCATGTTTCACCAGAAGGGCTTCACTCCGCTGCATGTTGCTGCCAAGTATGGGAAGCTAGAGGTGGCTAACCTGCTGCTGCAGAAAAACGCTCCACCCGACGCTGCTGGGAAGGTGACACATGTATAACCTCTGATAAAATTAAAGGGGACATATCATGCAAAATCCACGTTTTTAGYCATTCAATGCATTTTGTTGTGTACTTTAGTCTCTAGGAGGCAGAAACGTTGARTTTAGTCTCTCCTGGYGCTGYGTAAATATCTTCTGTTTGGGTCATATTTTTTAACCCGTTCAGATTTCTCTTTTTTCTATGACGTTGAAGCACCTTGTTTGCCTTTAAAGAGACAGCCTTAAAACGAGTTGATCTGAGACACACCTCAGAAAAGGGGTGAAAGAGGGGCTTGTGGAGTTGCGAWAAGGAGGAATGACGATTTCCACTTGTGACGTCACGCATATCATCTGCCGCTCACTTGAATGATCGTAGAATCGGTGTAGATTATATGGCGATTCACTGGTAATATTAAAAGAAAAAAATGTTACTAGAGTGAACTTTGACTCATCCCGCTTCAAAAAATTCAGAAAAGTTCAGTTGAGACATTGGCTGGAGGGTCAAGGTCTTTGACAGACTTGGAAAACGAGAAGAATTATTAAAAAGGTTGGGTTTTTTTAATAGCTTAGCTTGCCGCGTCTGTTGTGTGTGTGTATTTTATAATTTGAGTCACTGCTTCTGCATCATTTAAAGAAACGTCACAGTGATGATTAAAATTTGCGTAAGTATTAATTTTATCACCGTATGTGTGACTGACTGCAGTAGAACGCTGGATGAGGCTAGCAAAGATGCTACAAGTAAAGCTCAGTGTTTCCCCTACCATTATACAAGGGGGGCGGGTGCCCCCGCCAACAAGATGGCCCGCCCCTTCAAGAATTTCACAGCATGTAGTCATTTTTGTTTAAATAAGGCCAAATCAAGTCAAGAGCTATTTTTTGCACCCATCAATATCCACCTCTCGCAAAACTTGGGGGGGAAAAGATGGTGCAGAGCGAGGCTGAGCGCTGTGTGTGGTCCTCACAAAGATAGAAAGACGCATGTGTGTGTGTGTGTGTGTGT